GATCCCATCCCATCATCCCGGATCCCATCCCGTCATCCCGGGCTAGAGGAGACACTTGGGACGAGGCCATCTCTGCAGTCCTTTCCAGCCCAACCCATTCCATGATTGTGATCCCATTCCATGATTTTGTGATCCCATTCCCCAGTTCTCTGATCCCATCCTCCAATTCTCTGACCCCATTCCATGATTCTCTCATCCCATTCCATGATTTTCTGACCCCATTCCACGAGCCCATGATCCCATTCCATGATTCCAGAATCTGACCCAGAATGAGAGGCTTGGAATGAGATCATCTTCCCATTCTCTCCCAGCCCATTCCCTGGTTCTCTGATCCCATTCCCCAATTCCATGATCCATTCCCCAATTCCATGCTCCATTCCCCAATTCCATGCTCCATTCCCCAATTCCATGCTCCATTCCCCAATTCCATGCTCCATTCCCCGATTCCATGCTCCATTCCCCGATTCCATGCTCCATTCCCCGATTCCATGCTCCATTCCCCGATTCCATGCTCCATTCCCCGATTCCCTCCTCCATTCCCGTATTCCATGCTCCATTCCCCGATTCCATCCTCCATTCCCCAATTCCCTCCTCCATTCCCGTATTCCATCCTCCATTCCCCGATTCCCCACTCCATTCCCCGATTCCCCACTCCATTCCCCAATTCCATCCTCCATTCCCCGATTCCCCGCTCCATTCCCCGATTCCCCACTCCATTCCCCGATTCCGCTCTCCATTCCCCGATTCCCCGCTCCATTCCCCGATTCCGCGCTCCCTCCCTTGGCTCCGCTCACGCTCTCCGGCCCGCGCAGCATTCCCGCTCCGCGGCTCCCGCACTCCCTGACCTTGTCCCAGTCGGGCCGGCCGGGCCGGGTGCGGCTCCGGAGGCCGGAGATGGAATCCCGCTGCTCCCGGGCCGCCAGCAGCTCCAGCGCCAGCTGCAGCCCCAGCGCCCGCACGTCGCCCGCGCCCAGCGCCGAGGTCATGTACAGCTGCAGCTCCAGGAAATTCCCTGGAATTCCCAGCGGTTCCAGCGGCCCGCCGGGATGCGGCCCTGCGGGTTTTCCCGGGAATGGCGCTCACCTCCCGGCTCCAGCTCCTCCTGCTCCGTCTCCAGCTTGGCCAGGAGGCCCAGGAACCACTGCAGGTGCTGCTGGTCCCGCGTGATCCAGATGAAATCCACCTGGATTTCAGGGCGGGACTCGGCGTGGGCACTCACCGGATCCCGGCGCCAGATCCCAGCACCAGATCCCAGCGCCGGATCTTGGTTCCAAATCCCAGCACCGGATCCCCAACAGCAGATCCCAGTTCCAGATCCCAGCAGCGGATCCTGACGCAAAATCCCGACACCAAATCCCAGCAGCAGATCCCGACACAAAATCCCAACACCAAATCCCAGCACCGGATCTTGGTTCCAAATCCCAGCACCAAATCCCCAACAGCAGATCCCAGTTCCAGATCCCAGCAGCGGATCCTGACACAAAATCCCGACACCAAATCCCAGCACCGGATCCTGACACAAAATCCTGACACAAAATCCCAGCACCAGATCTTGGTTCCAAATCCCAGCACCAAATCCCCAACAGCAGATCCCAGCACCAGATCCTGATGCAAAATCCCGACACCAAATCCCAGCAGCAGATCCCAACACAAAATCCCAACAGCAGATCCTGGCGCCAGATCCTGAAACCAAATCCCGGCACCAAATCCCAGCAGCGGATCTTGGTTCCAAATCCCCAACAGCAGATCCCAGTACCAGATCCCAACACAAAATCCCAACAGCAGATCCTGGTGCCAGATCCTGAAACCAAATCCCGACACCAGATCCCAGCACCAGATCTTGGCGCCAAATCCCGGCACCAAATCCCGACACCAGATCCAGGCCCCATTCCCAAAGCTCCCGGATTTGAGGGATGCTCCCAGGCTCTCCGCCCTGGGACCCTGCAGCCCCATCCCAGGTCGAGCCTGGATCCCACATCTCCTCTTGTTCCCGTTCCCACCTTCCGGAGCGTCATCTCCTCATCCCGCCGTTCCTCGCTCCAGGAGAAACGGCAGCTGGGGCAGCTCTGCTTCCGCCGCCGGTACCTGCCGGG